TTGAAAATATTTTCCCACCATTTTGGTGGGAAAATATTTTCCGGCCGGTTGCTCAAATTTTTTTTTTTTTTTTTTTTGCAATGGAAACAAATGTCATAACCAATTGTAAAAAAAAAAAAATCATTTTAATGGACAATTTCCATATAAAACAAAACCAAACGAACAATAAACTTTGATGAAATAAATGATTTTTTAGGAAAAAAAAGAATTTTCGTTTTTTTTTTACATTTTGGCAATGGAAACAAATTTTATAACCAATTGTGGAAAAAATTATCACTTCAATAGACAATTTCCATGTAAAATAAAACTAAACGAACACAAAAATTTAAAATTTTTTGGGTGGAAAATTATACAAATCAAACAAACTTAATTAACAATTCTCTATAAAACAATTTATAAGCAATTACTTTCCCTAGAATTCATTTTTTTTTTCCACCCATTTTCCAAACAGACCCTTAGTTTACACATCCCATTTCATTTCAAGTCTTCTTTTCAGAAAAAAAAATCTACATTGAGGGAACATTTACTTAATTATTTATGACAGCAATAAATTAAACATGGAATCATGAGTAAACGTGCATGAAATTTAATTGTACACACAGAGGGATTAATCAAACCGGAAAAAAAATAGTGGAGAGAAGACCCAATCTTTGCGTCGTGTGAACCGCACGTGGGAAGGCACCATGAATCATGCAAGCCAGAGATTGCCATTGATTCATGCTTATTGAATCTCCCACGAACATCATGCGTTTTCCTCTAACTCTCCTCATAAACTCCTCTCCATTCCACCTAAATCAAAAACCCGAATCTTCAAATCGTCAAAACTTCGTGCGTATATCATATACGTGAAAAAGAAGAAATGAAGTAATTAATTTACCTGGGTAGATTACAGTTATGGGGTTGCCATCTATACTTCTGATAATCTCGATCTGGCCGTCCATTTCCCGAGCAATTAAATTGCTGTATCAAGAATGGACACTTATTCGAATCGTAGAGAGGATATGAATCATCAAATACCCATTCGCCTTCGTATAAATTGCAGAATTTGTTCGATTTAACATGTGCATGTTTAGCAGAAACATTGAGAAACGTAACTGCAAGAATTGTAAAAACTGCAACTGCACAAGAACTCATTTGAGAAGAAGAAGAAGAAGAAGTTGAGAGGAGAATCAATGAACTGAATAGCTAATTACAGTTGTGAGGGAGTTATGGGAGTCGTCAGTTGAGTTTTGATTTAAATAATAAATAATTTAATTTAGCGTTTTAGAAAGTTGAATATCAAAGCATATCATAATCTTTATCATTTAGAGTTCAAGTGATGCTAGAACTTCTTTGATAGAGTAATGTTATTTAGACCTTGTTTGGTAGGGATTAAAATCTAAATTTTTTAAGTTAAAATTAATAATTAATTTTAATCACTTTTTTATTAAATTCATAATCTTTCAATCACATATTTCATTAATTTTTATTAAAATCTACTAAAAAAATCGATACTAATCCCCACCAAATAGGGGCTTATTATCATTACCGATTAGGGCCGTAATGTTATGTGGTTTGTCCCATATTCATACATCTAATTGGAGGTTCACGTGTTTTATCTATAGTCGGGGACCTTCGCTATTATGTTCCCAATTTTTTATTAGACAAACCAAAACGACACTTTCTCAGTAGAGGGTATATGAAAAGTAACCTCTGGATCTTGTGGTTCCATTTGAAACGGACAATCTTATTAAGAAGAGTAGTCGAAATCCTTATATGTTAGCTATTATTTTTGTATTTTGCAAAAATAGATTATTTCTTTAATGTGTTTCATAAGATGGTGGCTCATTTGAGAGCGTCAATCTTAAAATCAGAAAGCTCATTAAAGCTTTATGTATATAGATGTTAAACTTAAATATGAAAAAGGTAATTTGAAATACGTT